TTTGAGCAAAGAGGTGGCACGGAATCCTAACCAGCGCGCGTATCGACAGCAGCTTGTCGGTAAGGCGGAAAGCTGTTGAACGAAGAGGCACGGAATCTCCCACTCTCATACGGCGCGTAAGCCCCGCCTCTCAGCGCAAAAGCAGCATATATGCGTTGGTGGGGGCAGTAGGCTCCTCCTCCATGGCGCGCTGGCGGCCTCCGCCCCGAATACCTCTGCCACCTACTTGTTAACTGTGCGCTCCTGATACTTATTATTCGATTTAAACGAAGTTTCTGACGCTGCGAAAGCCGGCTTTTGCTTAACCTCTCATCTCTATATGTACTTTTAACAATATTTATGATCCTTTGTGCATCTCCACAGATGCGTAATTAAATTTAAACTATTATTTAATTATAATGTAACATTAAATTACTCCAAATTTATTATTTATATTATATTATTTATATTATTTATATTATGACAAATAAGTAATTTACGTATAAGGCACAGCAACTTATTTCTTACATAATAAAACATAATAAACACTGAAAATCGTTCGTTAATTATTATGTAACAATAATGTTCTAGAATGTTTTATTAATAAGGTCTTCTCGAGAAAGCATATATGCTTCGCATTAAAGGACACGTAAATTAATTACCACTGTACAAACGCATTTTTCGAGAAATCACGCTTCCCGTCGGCGACTGTCTCCCGTCGGCATTTGGAGCTTCCTCTTTTTTGTTGATTATTACCATGCAACAATATTCTAAATTATTTGATTGTATAATTCTTCTTAACATATAACTGACTCTTAATTGAGAAGAATTAAACGATAAAATGATTTAGAACATTGTTCCAATAATAATGATAATCAACAAGAAAAAGAAATTAGCTCCAAACGCCGACGAGAGACAGTGGTCAACGGGCGACGTGATTTTTCGAGAAATATGCCTTTATACAGTAACAATTCACGTGCCTTTTAATGCGAAGCATACTTTCCCGAGAAGACTTAAACAATGAAATATTCTAGAACGTTACTGTTGCATAATGATTAACGAGAGACGTGAAATTGCTACTATATGTATAAAGGCATTTCTCGGAAAATCACCGCGCCTATCTGTCTCCCGTCGGCGGAGGATGTTCCTCTCCTTTTCGTTATCATCCATGCAACAATATTCTAAATTATTTTATCGTTTAATTCTTTTCAAGATGGTATGAGACTAGCATTAAAGAATACAAGGATATATATATAGGTAATAATCCAGCGTGTCGCGTTTCGTCGAGCCTCTCAGATCACTCCGCGCCTATATACTGTCTCCCGTCGGCACTTGGAGGTTTCTCTTTTCGTTGATTATCACCATAATAATCTTAATCATTTTATCGTTTAATTCTTCTCGAGAAGATCATCTCATGAGAAGAATTAAACGATAAAATGTTTTAGAATATTCCTGCATGACGATAATCAACGAAAAAGAGGAATCTCGATCCAAATCTTCCGCCGACGGGAGACAGTAGACGCGGTGATTTTCTAAGAAATATCTTTATACAGTAGCAATTTCACGTGTCCTTTAATGCGAAGCGTGCTTTCCCGAGAAGACTTAAATAATAAAATATTCTACAACATTGTTGCATAATGATTAACGAGAGACGTGAAATTTTTACTGTATAAAGGAATTTCTCGAAAAATCAACGCGCCTATATGTTTCCCGTCGCATCCAAATGCCGACGGGAGACAGTCGGCAGGCGTGATTTTTCGAGAAATATATATCCTTTATACAGTAGAGCAAATGTTCACGTAAGTGCCCTTTAATGCGAAACATGCTTTCTCGAGAAGACAGGCAATAAAATATTCTATTGTTGCATAATGATTAACGAGAGACGTGAAATTTATACTGTATAAACGCAAATCAACGCGCCTATGTTTCCCGTCGCATCTGAATGTCGACGGGAAACAGTAGGCTCGGTGATTTGTCTAGAAATGCCTTTATACAATAATAATTTCATGTGTCCTTTAATGCGAAAGTATATGCTTTCTTCGAGAAGACCTTAATAATTGATAAAATATTCTAGAACATTATTGTTACATAATAATTAACGATCAAAAACGAAAATTGTCGACGGGCGAGAATGTGAGCAATTCTCGAGAATTAATATCTTAAATTTGTATCAACATATATTATTATTGACAATGCCATTTCTTTTAAATTTAAAGATGTTCTCTCGAGGAGAATTAAAATGATTTAGAATATTACTGCATAATAACCATTGAGAAAAGACGAATTTCGAATAACGACGCGTATACGCGTATATACGTGACATATCGAACGATTTTCACAATTAATATATAAGTTAAATGCACCGCTTATTTAACAAACTTATTTAATAAATGCCTATTATTGTCAAGCAAATTATTTAGCATGCAGCGTACTGCAATATGTGGCTATATCGCAAAAAAAATGTCTATTAAAATTATTTCATTTTGCTTATTATATGTTCGACGAGATATTAATTAAAGACGGCCAAAAGGCAAATTTTCGTGACTCTAAAGAGGACCCAGAAATAATTGAAAAATGATGACATATCAACGAATTTCGCTATACTCGAGGATATAAACAAACACGACCGATCGTTTTACGTGACCAAATCACTATTTTATTATTGACAGTGAACAATTTACTTTTCAGTTTTCGCGCAACGTTTGCTGTAGATATACACGTGTAGTACAGCAAACGCTGTTGAAAATTAAAAAATATGTATGTGCAGCAAACGTTGCGAAAATTGGAAAATAATGTAAACTTTTTACTGACGATAATAACATAGTGATTAGTGATTACGTAGTACCCATTAAAAAAATGGATGTGTTGGCGCTAGTGTACGATGGAGGCGGGGAGGGTGGGGAGGGGGAGGGGAGGTCTCGTCTGACGATCAACAAAGGCCAGAATGGCCGCTCCGCTCCGCGTCCGCCGCTCTCTCGTGCTTCTCTCAGCCCTTGCAACGCTGGCGTTCTAAAACTCACAGTCGGAAAGGTGCTTCAATTCTATTCGCGCAGCGGTCGATCGATCTATGAAATGCATTGCACTCCATGAAGATGGAATTGATGGAATGCACAGTGTCGTAGTGTTTATACGGAGCACGGCGAAGTGCCACATTATCTATGGGATTCGGCGTATTTTTCACAATAGTGGAGAAAGCCGCGACTAATTCGGGACAGAATTCAGAAGATTTCGCAGTCACGCTCGGCTACGACGTCCAGAGGGGCGTCACTTTATATTCGGAATATTAGCTACGGAGCTTCTCCTCCCGAACAACTTTTTTTCGCTTGATCTTCCGCGGTTTTTATCGTGGACGCGTGGTGCGTATACGCGAATCCTTCCAGTCCTGGATGATCTGATTTTTCCCAGCGACACGATGGTCACGGAGATTTAAGTTCTTAGCAGTCAGATTATTCTTGGTGGTCATTCTTCTGTAACATACAATATCAGGTTAGCCGATTCTCTCGTCGATTATATTTTTATGCATTTTAAGTCATTTCAATTAATAAATTCTATATTTTGTTCTCTCGTTGATTACATTATACTTTTATGTATTCTATGTATTTTAAATTCATTTCAATTGATGAATTTTATAATTTGTTTCTCATTAAATATGCAATCTTGGCCTTTAAATATACATAAGAAGGCACCTTCAATTTATTACATTTTTCTTGGAAAAGTCGGTAATAAAAGTCAAAGGAAGCTTAACAAAATATTAAAATTATTGTACAAGTAAATCATTTAAAAACAAATAAATATTAATTTCCATTATATTATAATATTTTTATTTCTTTAATTTTTTGTTAGAAAAAGTTAGCAGAACGTTTACCTCAATTTGTGAAAGTTATACTTTGGCCAAGGCTGGAATTTTTTTTTTCTTTTAGAAATGTTTCCAATAATCTTTAATTATGAACAAGCTCGAACAAACTTTACTTGAACAAACTTTGCTGGTGCGTAAGTGGCAGGGATATCGGGGCATCATGGCTATGCACAGCATACCACCGAAGCGAAAAGAAATCTACAAGTACGAGGCGCCATGGCCGTTGTACAGCATGAACTGGTCGGTGAGGCCCGACAAGAGGTTTCGTCTGGCGCTGGGAAGCTTCGTGGAGGAGTACAACAACAAAGTACAAATTGTCTCGCTGGACGAAGAGACGTCCGAGTTCAGTGCCAAAAGTACATTCGATCATCCTTACCCGACTACGAAAATAATGTGGATACCGGACAGCAAAGGTACTTAGTTTTACTCGCTTTATTATATTTCTAATCATACTGGGATTATGTGTCGATAATCAAATGAATAAACACTCGCCGCAGGTCAGCTTCCCGATCTTCTCGCCACATCCGGCGACTATCTGCGAGTGTGGCGCGCCGCGGAGCCCGAGACCCGTTTGGAGTGCGTCCTGAACAACAATAAGAACTCGGATTTCTGCGCGCCGTTGACGTCCTTCGACTGGAACGAGGTGGATCCGAATCTGATCGGGACCTCGAGCATAGATACCACCTGCACCATCTGGGGACTGGAGACGGGGCAGGTTTTGGGCAGGGTAAACATGGTCAGCGGCCACGTGAAGACGCAGCTGATAGCGCACGACAAGGAGGTGTACGACATCGCGTTCAGCCGCGCCGGGGGCGGCCGCGACATGTTCGCCTCCGTCGGCGCCGACGGTTCCGTGAGGATGTTCGATCTGCGACACTTGGAGCACTCGACGATCATCTACGAGGATCCGCAGCACACGCCGCTGTTACGATTAGCGTGGAACAAGCAGGATCCCAATTATCTCGCTACCGTGGCGATGGACGCGTGTGAAGTCATCATTCTGGACGTTCGCGTGCCGTGCACGCCAGTCGCGAGATTGAACAATCACAGGTCAATATTTAATACTATTTATACATACAGCATGCCATATACAATTTAATATTACAACACGTGGAGATATATTTTTTTTTATATTAGATTTTTCTGAAGGATTTCTCTGATGAATCTCTTTCTTCTTGGTTACAGGGCCAGCGTTAACGGGATAGCCTGGGCCCCGCATTCGTCCTGTCACATTTGCACAGCCGGCGATGATCATCAGGCTCTAATCTGGGATATACAGCAGATGCCAAGAGCAATAGAGGATCCTATACTCGCTTATACCGCCGCGGAAGGCGAGGTCAATCAGATTCAGTGGGGCGCCACGCAGCCCGATTGGATAGCCATTTGTTACAACAAAGCGGCCGAGATTCTTCGAGTGTAAATGCCTTCTTCCGAATCGAAAAGCGCATTTATTTTATCTCTAGGCGTTCAAACACATGCTACTGGAGTAAGTTCTTTCTTATTATTAATATAAGAGACATGTATTTTGTTTCTTGAAAACAGCAACTATAAAAACATTTCATTTGATGCGTTTTGCAATTGTACATATGTTTATAGAAATATTATAAATTTAATAGCGAACATTTTCCAGAGAGAAAAAAAAAGTCACGGTGTAACACAGTGAATTATTTCATTTTTGTGGCTTACCGATGTTAAACGGGAATGAATAGATTCACTGTGTCTCTTGTTGGAAAATGTCCAATTATTAGGGATCGTTTCTCAAGAATATGGATACTTAAATTACATTAATATGTAATTAATTAGGCATCAATCATTTTAAATGTCATTCTTAAATTATGTTAGGTTAGGTTTTAAGAAAACAATTTTGCGGCTATTACAGCAATCGGATTGAATCATTAGATTGTAGCGTTAATTAGTTCGCAGAATGTGATCGCAGTGTGATTGCAGTTTTAAGTATGTAATGTACAGATTTTTATAGCTGTAAATTTTTGATATGTGAATATATATATTATGCAATGACACACTGCCATATACGAATACGCCATGTACTCGACGATTGTATTGTCATTGATAGGAATATTAAACTCGCATTTTAATTTATATCATAATATTCATTGACGATCTAAGATGTATGTCGCGCAAATATTCGATTAGACTTGGTACTTATGTGTGCGGGAAGGTAATATCAATAATTAATGACACTAAAAGTTACAAAGGAGGATTACATATTCATATATATTGTTATATGAAATAATCGTATAATTTACAAATGTTAAATGAACCGAATGCAGTTATTTACAGTAATGAGCTCCGTGTGCGTTTTGAGCCTGTAATTCACTCAACATAAAGTGATTCCTTCAGTTTTGATCTCTATCCGCTATACATTTATATCTATATATTTATCTTTTCTTTTTTTTTTAGTGTGCAATCTCAATAAATATCACTTAACTCTGATACAGAGTAAATATACTTTTATTGCATCCAATGTAATTGCAACGAGTTTAGAATCGCGAAACAATTCGATATTTTTAGAAAATTTCCAGATGTTATTAAGCAAACCACGACTTTCCATCGCAGACAGGATACTTCGATCTAATTGTTAATACATTTTTTTTTGAACGCAGGAATTTAATTATCCTCGCGATATAATAAAAGAAATGCGCTCTGGCAAAAATCCATGCCTTGAAGCTTATACAAAATACGCGTATAAAAATATTTTTTATCTCTATCCTACAGTCATACAGATACTAATGAACCGATGTGAATCGATGTAGATATATATATATTCGTACGAGACATATTATTTACATAGAAGCATCGACCGCTCCGTGCCGTTGAATAAATTAGCGTTCCACTCAATCTCTAGACATTCTCACAAATTATACATGCACGCGTTTCGCACTACGTTCAGCAATAATTTATACAGCACTACCAACGAATTGTAAGCAGATCATATTTTGTGAGAAGTGTTAAGAACTCTGGTCTTTTACCTTCGCCTCGGTTAAGAACTCCGGTCTTTTACCCTTGAATCTCCTCCGAATTGGCTAGCGCTCTGAGGATAAGTCACAGCCGTGACTTACATCATGCAAGTAATGTCCATCATGCAGGTCTTCTGAATACTCGCTCTATGTTCACATATAGAGTAAGTTCAGATTATTAGTACACTAATATATCTCTTAATCACTAAGATATCCTCGAGGTTTAAAAATTCAAGGCAGCTGCACTGAAAGACTCGTTATACAATCTAATCTTGTTCCAAGTAACTTTAATGGCAGGGAAAATCACATCTTGCACCACCACAGGTCTGAATATTCCGGTGCGTTTCGGCTTCCGTTACCACGAGACATGTACTAACGTACTACTACTAACGCTTTTCTCTAGAAAATTATTTTCTATATTCTACACAGAAAAGAAAGATATTCTCTTATGTAAGGAAGAATATTATATAAATCTTAGAAGATTTTATAATCTTGATTTGAATGAATTTGTGTTGATGAAAGTGTTACTTTTTTTTTACTCAAAAAGTTCAAGAGATTCATGTATAAAAATCATTTATATGAAACTTGCAATATTCTTGCTTACATATGAGAATATTTATTCTTCATTTAAGACTAACTCTTTTTCTGTGTATACTCTTTTCGAGGACTTCTTTGAGCTCGATTGAGTACGAACGAACGTACATATAAATTTTATGATCGGAAACTAATTATTCTTACAAGGCACATAACTTGCTCGCTATATAATAGAGATGGAGTACCGTGCACGCCATAGTGAGCATGTTTCCCATGGCTATGCACACATGCACTCGGCGGAACGCTCGATGGATCTTCATGTAATGCGTACAGTTCTTGAGCGGTCCAGGATTATGACGGCCCACCTCATTGCCGACGCCTGCCGCGCGTTCGAAATTGTTCTTCTGCACGATCAGCTGGAGGAGCGGAGGTGTCAGGTAGAGGCGTATCAGCAGCTCCAGGAAAAAGGCTCCGGACATTGCGCCAACCTGCACATAACATAGTTTTATTTTTATTTTTTCCTGAGAATTTTCGTTCAGTTTATTTAATTTACTTAAGATTAAATAAAAAATTCACAGTTTAAACAAATATTAATATAAAATTAAGAGAGTTTATCAGAGAAGATTAAATTATCTTATTTCTTTAATATCAGATATGGTAAATTTTTTTGGGAATCCTTGTTAGGGAATTATCTACATACCTGAACAGCAATTTCGGAGTCCCATGTATGCGTCGGATGATGCTTGACAAATATGAGGAGCGTAATGAGACTTAGACACGCGTTAATCGTGAAGTATCTCGGAAACAGGACGCGCTGCACTTCGCCGAATGCATGCCGTGGCAGTGCAAAGTACAAAGACAGACCTGCAGGTAAATCGTATATATTATTTCAGAGAAAGCCAATTTAAATCAATTAGAGAAGTAAATCGAGAGACTACACTTCGTCCTTATATAAAAATATATTCGGTATTTCTTAATTATTATATATTAATACATATGGATGCATACCTGATACGAAAGTCATCCAAATTTGAGCGCCAAAGTGTACGACGAAGGATGCGAGGTAAATGAAGGACATCATTCGTGAGTAAGAATGATTAGAGGCCTGTACCCGTCCCTTGATTGGAAAGAGTACCGACGTGACGAACAAGACTGCGGCGATCGTGATTACGTGCGCGGGCTGCGTCGTGTAAAAGAGGATCCTGCAAAACGACAATTACAGATCCAATGAGACTTGATCTCTCGTGGAAATAATTTTATGGGAATGTCAATTGAAGAAAATTGCAGATAGTTCGAGGAATTTGTATGAATAAACTTTTATCACACTGTAAATACAATTTGTCGCGTTAGGATTCGATTGACGTCAAATCACGTCAGATCTCTCTATCTTCTCGCGTACCCTTATCATCGTTGGTAAACTGGAAAATTCGCTGTAATATAATGTGATAATGTAATTTTTGCGAGATACGCGCGATATCGCCGAGCAAGGGAAACTGCCGTATCTCGGCGATTAATTCGCACACTACTGGATTCTTGAATCATAGATTCACACGCATACGCGGACTCGTGACACGGCCGCGATATCAACGACCGGTTAAATTTTCGTCACGTGCAACTCCGTTAGATAATCTGGCAGAGCGCCTCACTTAGCGCTGATTTATGCGTGTGCCGTGATGTCGACATGACGTCAAAGTCAAATAAATCCGCCGAGAGTAAAGCCGTCTAGAAATGCCTCCACTCATTACATTGCCAATATAAGCAATAGTGATTGACGTTCATATAGTTTCGTCTGCATCTTGTTCTAAATCGAACTGAAGAATGTCACACGTATGTCACATGTTGCATCGCCCTGGCGAAAATTTTTCTTAGAATTCTTTTCATACAGTTTCTTAGTATTTTTATATAAACTTACGAATTTTTTTTAAATCTCTATGATTTTATTTTTTTTTTTTTAGAAAATTTCTCAGATTTTTTATTACAAATTGGAACACTTTTAAAAATATTGAGAGTCTACATTTTTTCTAGAATTTTTTATGTATGTAAATTCTGAAATATTCTAAGATTTTTCAATTTCCAAAAAAACATAAAATCTGAAGAAGTTTGAAAGATATTTTTCAGAAATCTTTACAAATTTAAAATATGACAAATTCTTAAAAATATGCGATATGAGAATTTTTTGATCAGAGCATATATTATTGTACTATAATTATTATATCTATTATTATCGATTTGATGCGACGCAAGATGTGAAAAATAAAAAAATTAATAACTATTTTAAGGACGTTACATGAACGAGATATCAAGAGAACATACTTATTACCATTTATATTTATGATTTATGTATGACGATTTATGTATGACGTGAATGTTAAAAAGGCAACTTGAGAGGCTGGAGAACTCGTTATTAAATTTCATCAGGCGCTTCCTGCTGGGATATGAAACTCATGCTGCCGCCCGTGGCATATTAAAAATAAAAAGAAAAAAAAAGAAATTATTCCTTTACATATACATGTGCACGCGCGTGCGTGACCCTTTCTCGAAATTCTCCGAAGTGTCTTGCTTGATTTATTAAAGAATGAATATTGGTCGAACGGCACCCGAGGTGCTTTTCGCAATAAGTCAAGCAAGCGTGCGTGAATTAAAACGCTTCGTACATTTATAAAAGCGAAATACGTATTGTATTTTAAACTTATATTTTATAAACGGCGAAATACGTATTCAAGACAATTCCATTACAATTTGTAAGTCAAGTAACCGCTCGCCTTGCTGTGTGCGAATTAATATGCGTGACGTGATAATCAAAACGAATCAGGTACAACCGAACGCAATTTGGCGTGACATGGCACGAAATTATCGCTCGCGACACGGTTTTAATCGTGTCTGTACAACAAACAAATAACTGCATGTCCATGTTCTCAACGCGACCAAGCTTCTTACGTTTTTTTATTCGCGCCGTCCAACGACCGCATGCACAGCGAGCGTATACTTGCGAAATTTCTACGGTCATAGGATGCCTCATACTATATATAATGCCACGTGTCGTTGTACAAATAAGTTTGTACAATCCTCGCCGGCATGTCATTTGCGCAATGTCAATATTGCGCGAGGCATACCTATATGTACGCGAGAGATACTCGCGCGCGGCGTGAAAAATTTACTTCTCTTTCATTAACCGAATAAAGAGAGTGCCGCCAATGTACAGGCGCGTTTTGTCCTTGAACTAATTTCGTTTGCGAATAAGATCACGAGGGATGTGCAGCCGACGAGAGAGAGAGCGAGGGTGAGAGAGAGAGAGAGAGAGAGAAACTTATCCCGGTGACAAGCGTAGTATTCTCGATTGGCCCGATAAGAAACATCTGTGACAATATATCGACGCGCGTGATCGCCGTGATCCTCTTGAAGTGTCGATTAATTACCACGAGGTCATCAGCCAGAAACCGTCGGCGTGGGCAATTCGCGTCCGCTCGCGAATCTCCCGCGCGGAGAGCCGCCTCTCCTCCGAGATTACCAAATCGAAATTTCGACACGCGCGAACGGGTGCGCGCGAGGCGAAAAAATTTTGCCCACCGAGCACTTTGCGTCACGTCTACACCCCGCTGTTGGCGACGAACATCTGTCGTTTCTTAAATTTCATTATTTTTTTTTTTTTTGCTTCGAGATCACGATAAACGCGTAACACGCGCAATCGAAATGTATACGTTTCGAAGCAGACGACTCGACGATACGGAGATTTGATTGGCGATTAATACGATTTATTTGCAGATTGCGCGAAATTTTGCAATAGATGTGTATTCAGTATATCTTGCAGTATATCTTCCACGAAGCTACAATTCTGCTTTTTGTTCTTTTTTTTCTTCTTGCAGCGTATAGTCATTAGAAATCTCAGATAATTTTAGTCATATATATATATATATATATATATACGTTTATATCTTACTCTTTGTCTTTCTCTCTCATTTTAGGTAAATGTGTATTCGCTACTGCTACTTTTCGCTGTTATATTATTTCAATCAAATTTTATTGCAGTAGTGCACGTTCAAAAATAAAAATTGATATTTTGAATAACGTCTGTATATTTATCTGTCTATTTTAATTATACTTGTAAAAAATGGTGTTTTTATCTAAAAATTATAGAGTGCTCCGAGCTTTCGAGCATATATTCGCGATAGATGTATTCAATTGTTCAGCTCATTTATTAACATCTTTTTATTCTTCCCATTTTCCATTTTCTAATTTTTCCCATTTTTTTGACTTCGTCGAAACTTCGGGAGAAAGATTTGGAGAATCTCTTTTCCCTACTTAAAATACTTTCCGCTCTCGTGCGACAGAGGTTCCGCGAAAGGGATAGCCGAGGGTCACAGGTCCGGATACACGGCCGTAATTCAACGTCCCGGACGCACCTATGCGTGTGCGAGTATTCCGCGTGTAGGTGCACCGAGCCGAGCCTGGCATTATCAAGTGGCACTGGGAAACGTGCGAGAAGGCACGCACGATTCGCCGCTGCCGCTTAGATCGTGACCGCATATATACGATCCGGCAAAATCAGTTCTCGCCGATTTTATTAATGACGCGAAGCGATACGCGGTGAATCTTTATTGCACGCATCCGGTCTCTCCGTTTTATCGCTTGTTAACATTGTCTCGTTAATCCCAAGATCATATAACTCGATTTCAACTTGTCGCAGTTGCCAAGCGCACGATCCCCCCCCTCCCTCTCTCTCTCTCTCTCCCTGCCTCTGTCTCTGTAGGTAAATATATATTAAATCAATTTAAATGCAACAAATTGAAGAGGCACCTAAAATACGAAGAAGGAAGAAAATATAAAGTGTTGCTAACTATTGAAAATTTACCGCTCAGGGTACTCAGGTCGAGCTATAAATTGTAAATTTAATAAATAAATGAACAAGTTATTATTGATACACTCTTAAAAATATGAATGTGATTTTACCGCCGTTATATAATTCTCAGCAACATGGTTAGGTAATTTTCATCATATATTGATAAGAATTACATAAACACCAATGGTATTAAAATCATATCTATATTTAAAGAGTAATATATGAGTGTAATTATTATTATCATTATAATTAATTATATTATTATTATTATTACTAGTTTATTTGTAACTTATTCTAAAAGAATAAGTAAAATAAACGGTATACCAATGTATATATATGATTAGTAGCAATTTGCAGCGTAAAAAGAATAAAAATGGCAAGTGGCGTGTCTCTAATGGAAGCACCGGCTGCGCGGCGTAACGGAACATCGTAAACATCGCAAAACGAACAAAGCCGCTTTGCTCGAACTTCATTTGCGGATACTTTCGAAGATGCGAGAGGTGTCGAACTTGGCGTACCGCCAGCCGCACGTCCACACGTGGCAAGTACGAACGCCCGTTGGGCATGTCGCGCCTGGCAGTGATTCTTCCTAAACTCGTTTGCTCGTTCGCGCTTAGAAAATAAAAATTATAAAAAGAAATCCTTGAGACTTTGCGGTTGTCACCAATTATCGTACGTGTCGACCGGTTATTACTAATACACCGATAATATCAGATCATTAATTAGGCCCGTGAAAGTGAGTGCAAGGAGCGATTTTGACACGGTTTCGTCTTAAATGATGATTCATACGCGACACTCAGCGTCTAATCTTCGTGTGTATTATACGATAATATATGATACGAAATTTACGATGTGTCGCGAAATATAAATACAAGATTGTCTCCTCTCGATCGGCCGATTGGCGTACAGCTGCGTAACATCGTCAAAGAATACCGCGGCAAAGTAATCGTTTCGCAAAAGTACCTAATCATCAGGGGACGACTAAACAATTTCGTGAATGCATTTTCGTGGCGCTGGGGATAATCGATCAACGCGGACCGGGCCGTTTAATAAAGAACATCTCCGACGAGATATTCCTCCCCTTCCTCCCTCCCCCCCTCCTTCCCTCCGCATCTTCGTGTCACGAACGAGTTTCTGCCCGGTCTCGCCTCGGGGCATCCGGGGGAGCCTGTAATTATATCTTTTTTATTGTGGAGTCGCGCGCGTTGCCAGCCCCAAGAATGCGCTGCACGTATGCAGTTCCAGCGCGCGGAGAGGAAGTCCATTATCCTTCATTATGCTTGTGCAAACAAGAATTATCCGATCGCCTCGCGCGCGAAAAGTGCACGCATTATAACGCTGATATAATTTGCGATTACGTTGTTAACATAATAACTCAGCAAGAAATTTAATCCCGCTACGAAACTTATTGCATTTGGACAGTTGCACCCCTGGTAAATCATATACAACTGCGTCCTTGCGCCAAATTATACGTACTTTTGTAATAAAATTGCAATCGCAAGATCGTCAGAGAGCATCGCCGATGGAAAGTCTGGCCCGTCGAGGACATTCGAAGTATCGTCGGTCCAGACTGAATCCATGAATTTTTTACAAACAAAAAAAGAGAGCACGCTATTAAAGATTCTATTTATAAAGATATAATTTTATTTTATCCTTTATAAAGGCGGGATACGAAAAGAGAACCCGTGAAATATAAATATCCTAAGAGAATGCGGAACGCGACGAAAAAGAAGACTGCCGCGGCCCCTGCAGCAGGGACAGAGCGACAAAAAGCTCGTTTCGCGCACCTTTGCGCTCTCGCGCATCCTTTGTGGCAACGCCGGCACTGTACCATTCGCTCGTCTCTATTTTTTCCGTAGACAACGATCGACACGACGACAGACACAGTCATCCGGCCTCGCACGAGACACACGCCGTAGACGCATAATCATTGCTTACTTGACCGGCTAATTATGGACGCCTAGTGTTAACGCCCGGGATAATTACGGCGATCGACAGAGGGCGATTACTCGATCATGTAATCGCTCTCGATTACACACGGAACTCCAATTACTCGGTGAGAAAAAAAAAATACGCCTACGGCATTAAACGCGGAATTATATTGGAGCGTTATCAATGCGTCACTCCTTCCGAGTCGAATTAATCCGCGAAAATTTTCCATCTTTTTAAAGCCCTCGCGCGCTCGGCTGTTGAAAACCCACATTGTCGAATTGTTCCAAAAATATCCGGGAAAGAGGGAAACGCGCGAGGATGGCCTCGGGAAAAATCACTTATTCACGAAACAATTATGGAAACTCTTGGCGAAAGTAGAGCGCTATTTGCAATGTTATATTTAAAGATCTTTTGCGGAGATAACTGATGTATAAAATTAGAAATATATAGACAGAAATAGATAATGTGTAAAAATAGAAATACCTTTGATCGCAGATTTTAATTTTTATGCCAGAGGTGCATAAGAATAGAAAAGAATTGAGATAATTATAATAGGTTCCCGTGTCAGGGCTAATTTGAACTTTTTCTTTTAAAATAAGATACGTCAGCTTGTCTCGTTTCGTTAGATACAAAGGACACGTCGATTGTCGGACGCTTCGATCGATTATATATAAAAGATAGAGATATAAAAGATAAGCGCTTTTTCTGCGCGCTTTGTCGTCAATTGATCTTTACCTTGTCGTAACGGCTCGGAAATAGACCGGAGACGAGCGTCGACGTAAGATGTATAGATAAAGAATTCGCGAATGAGAAAGAAGTACACGGGTGCGATAAGTACGCGTTATACGTGTGCAAAGGACTTATCGCGGAAATACGGAAGATTTTCAGCGCGCAACCGATGACGCGGGATTGTGCGTCACTAGTCCCCGGCTTGCATCATCCATGCATTGATCGGGCGTCCGATGAATTTATTGAAATTCAATTCCGATTGAAAACTGCATCGGTGGGATGAGCACGTGCCCCGCGCGCGTCGGCGACGCGTGATTTTCGGTGCTCTATATAGCGATGATCTATTTCGATAAAACTAAAAAATATATACGTATGCTCGCGCGGCTCATCACTCGCATTATCTCTCAGATCTCTTTCAGAAACTTATCACTTCCCAATTGCGATATCAGAATTAATTAAATAATCTTATCGTATTAAAATACACATGTACACGGCGAGCGCGACTGTTAGAGTATTGCGACAGCGTTATATGTAAACAACTTCCAATTTTCGGAAGCTATTTTTGCATCTGTTTTGGGAAATAAGAGGCTTGGAGTCATAAGATTCTTCCCCCTCCCCCTTCTTTTTCTGAAAATAAATCGTGGAATCCATGTCGTGAGATTATCACATTTCTAAGATTTCTAAGACCGTCTAACGTTTAAGCAGTTTCGAGAATTGATCTGCTGCGTAGAGATAACCGCGCGAAAAATTAATTGCCAATCGGAGTCGCGCTCCGACTTCGCTCCGAACCGCGGCGAACCTTTGCTCTCCACGAGATACACACGCGAGACGTTCTCTCTTTATCATCGAAATTTTACGCAGTGTTGGTGCATGTGTTGTGAGTCCACTCCAATAAATTTGGAGCAGATATCAACGGAGAGACAGACATCGCTCCCGATTATATTATACAGCAGCTTTCCGGAAAACGTTGAAACGAACGTTATTTACCAATGGAGAGAGAATATGCCCTGCAGGGAAATATACGGAGATTATTTTCTATGCGTGTTGCGTTACACGCATGTTGTCCGCGCGTTCATTGATTAGCGATGTGCGTCTCGAGTAACAGGTAATGAGAACACGAAGGCGGCTGACGTGAAACGACGTTCACGCGTTGTTTCAACTTGCAAGAACGTCGCATACGCGAAGACGCTGCATACCGAGTTCTTGCGTAATTCAGACGGCACATATGTCCAAAATCGACATAAGACGTCCTAAGCGCATCCTTAGGACCAATTTCACCTTCGTCACTCATCATTTAATTTCATCTTCAATTAACTTACAATTAGTCGATACCATTGGAATTGATCAATTGCGTCTGTCATCAAGCATCGACCAGAATTGATCGATCACGGTTAATACTTAATCGGTCAATTAAGTTAATTGAAGACGGTGAAGTTGGACCTTAATGACATGCTTAAGACGTCTTACGTCCCGCTTTTGGACATAATGCTATCTGAGTAAAGATTGTATATATATGGTAATAATGGCCTTTATCACGGGGACTTTTCGAAAGCGGGTCTCGTAAAGCGCAACAGACGTGTGCGGGCCTCGTATAATTTCGAGGACCGTAAGTATCTGCAAATAATATAAGTACACAAGAAATTCCGCATGAAATTCCCTGTGAAATTAGCAAGCGTGAATGACCCGCCGGGAAGAGATACGCCTGCGAATTTGTACACGAGATCCTCGGAAGGACCTCGCGCGGACCCTCGAGGAGCTCACGTGCGCCTATATAGCTGGCTCCACAGAACCCAGATTCGCCGTCGCGCGGAACCTGCGATAAGAAGAAAGCGAAGCACAACAGATGAGACCAGAGCCAAAGAGAGATCTGACGAAATCGAAGTCTTATAATAATTAAAAAAAAAGGAGTAATTTCTCCGTTGCTCCAATTCGATTCTTATGCTGAAAATCACGCGGTAGCGTTCTGTATACTTACTTAAATGCCTTGGAGCGGCGCATGATCTCGTAGTACGTGGACAGCTTCTTCAGGATCAGGCTGTAGTGATTGGTGCTGGCGACCAGGACGTCGTCGGCCAGATCGGGCAGGTAGAGCGCGTTCTCCGCGCGCTCCCGTCGACGCTGCAGCTCCTCCTTCTCCAGCATCTCCTCGTAAATCCTCATGTACTTTTCCTTGGTACGGGACATCTTGTCGCTCTGCTTCGAAGCGACGACCAGCACGTCTGCCTCGCTCGTTTCGTTACCCACCAACGTGCGAACACACATAGCGTTCCGTTGCTGATTTATATTTTTGCGATATACAGTCGAGCGACGATCCAAGTTTCTCTCGGCTATCTTTCGACCTCTGCTTCTGGTCCTCGCTGATGGAGCTGGATGGTGCCCGCGTCGCAAGTCGGAAGACGACTGATCTTCGAATGCTACCAAGATGATAGAGGCTCCCCTTCCACCCTCGAGTGCGTCCGACGATCTCTGTCTCGTGCCGCGAACTGAACGTGTCAAGCCGGCTGTCCTCGCGCGAGGGTGGTCGCCAATCAGGTTGGATCGTGTCGCCGCGCGACGTGGTGCGCGGCAGAGGGAGAAAGCGAAGGAGAAAAATTCAACGCCCGCTGCCGCTCTCTCTTTCTCTCTTCCGTCCGCCGTAGAGTGGGAGATATCGCTTTTATGTCATTCCCTCTGTCCCCTCCTGCGACCGGCCCGCCGACGAGATATGCGAAAGGGTTTCAGCGCGAACGAGTTCCCTTCTCCGTCGTGGAAGAGGAGGGAAGCCCGAATGAGTCTCGTTTCTCAAAATGGATATTCCGAAACCAAATCCTGGGAAATATTTACTAAATTAAATATATTCCTTTCTCCGTCGCAGAAAAGGAGGGAAGCCCGAATGAGTCTCGTTCTTAAGAATCTCATTTCCCAAAATGATATTACGAAGCCAAATCCTGGAAAATATTTGTTAAATTAAATATACATAGTTAATTCGTAACATTCCATTTTTGTTATATATTATTGTAATATACAATATAATATAAATTAGATAATATAATATTATGTGCGCGCGATCGTATTGCTTTATTTATTTCAAAAAACTATATGAAAATATTTACATAGATTTATGTGAACTTATTGTTGTTTTAAAAATATTTAAATAAAATATTCGGTGAGAATTGAAATACCGAAGCATCTTTCGAAAAACTTAGAAAGGCAATTCAGAGTAATATAAGCCGCTTTACGTCAGACAGACATATCCAAAGTCGGGACGTAGGACGTTTTAAAGATATCAAGACATCTTTTAAACATGATCTAAAAGACGGCTTAGTCTTGATTTTGGACATGCATGCTGTTTGGCAGATCATGTTTCCGAATGGATGATTTCGATCAAACTCTGAATAATTTAATCAATGATTATCAATTTATCAAGTAACACCTAAAATTATACTTGCTTCCGGCTTATTTTCTTTTGTTTTTTTAATTTCTGTAGAACGATGAGATTAAAAAACGATAAACACAAAGAAACTCTATTCGATATCGGTATATTATAAATAAAAAAGTATCTGATTGGCGTTCATTCATTTCTACGAACGTAGATTAAACTTTAATCTCGGTTTAACTCTTTTATTTTTTTTTCCTAATTCTTAGAACTGACATCAGAAATGGACATCAGATGGATGTGGTGATTTAAAAGGAGATAAAAGTTATTAGAAATTAGACAGGAATCATTCGGACAGATAAAAGTTATTGGGAGCAGAAGTTGAGTGGACACTTTAACAATTGATTAGACCCCAGAATATAAGTCAATCATGTTTAATTCAAAGACCATTCTTCTTTCTTCCTTTCAGAGTCCTTTTATATATAAAATTTTTTGATACATCTGATATATGTAGATATTATCAGAATTCTCTCTCTCTATATATATATATATTAAGAACTTTGAATATGGTATACAAATTGGAAAATAAGAAATGTGTTTGAAAAAATTAGATTGGTACATCACGTATCTTATGTATATATTATATATATCATATATATATATACATATATGATATATATATACATATATAATAATAGTATAGTATATATTAAACAAATTTCCATATATTATTTTAACAATAACTTTGTTCAAAATATATTATAGATTTCATAGTACTTATACTACAAAATCGTTCATACAGCAACGGCTGCTTCCTAAATCTTAGTCACATATGCGTTTCGTTTTCGTTGCCTATTGTCTGTGTATTTCGTCTCGCACGTATTCTATCAAGTATATAAATTTTATAAGAAAACATATTTATAATTTATCAAAGCCCTTTTGTCAAAGCCCGATAGATAACAGCAACTAATACTTGGATATTTTTAGTAATCTAAAAACCGCTCGATGATTTTAATCTTCAGTATAATAATTAATAATTGTATAATTAAATTATTTGTTATCTCGCTATAGCTATAATATAACATAGTATAAATACGTAAATGAATGAAGAGAGAATTATAAGGAAAAAGAGATATATAAATATTCATATAATTTTCAAAGACAATTTCCAAAATGTCGGAATATAAGTATTACATGGCCATTTAAGCTTACATTGTGTATACTTCTGTCGGAATTCCAGTTTTCGTTTACAGTATATCCGAATTCGATAGAGTGTATCTTTCAATATGATATGTAGACTTTCACACCTCGCGCATTCAGAGAAATTCAGAGAACTCCAGCTTGAATACTGACTTCATCATTTCATCATTAAGCGTGCACTGAAATTTTCTGTATATAAAAGATTTTTAACTAATGTTTAATTCGCTCAATTGTAAAGAAGCATGAAAGCGTATCCAGAATTTTTTTTCGGGGAGGGGGGGGAAGAAGAGTTTATTAATAACAGTAGCATAAATAGGAATTTTTTGCATTAATGAATTGGATAATCGTAACGAAGAGACAATAATATTTTATGTGAGAACAAAAAATTTACTCATAGTCAAAAGTAGTTATATTTTATAATTAAAGATAAAAAAATAAATAAAAATCTCGAGAAGTTCGAACTCTCTTAACCCCCTCCCTTGGATACGTCCATGTAAAGAAGTATATCACAATCACATATCATCAATATATACGTATATCCAAACTGCATTGATCGAAAGGAAGTTTAAATATAATCTCAACAATATCTCTCAAACAGCTTACAATTAGATAGACATCTTCAAAAAGTAATCACTAGCTTCAAAGTTAATAAAATAAATTCAATTAAATAAGCAACGCATTCTAAAATATATTCTAACATAAATTTGAGTGAAATTAAATATATCCATCCTATTTGACATGTTTACCGTATCTTCCAGCAGCACAAATATGCTGGCGTAAGATTTAGGAATCTTTGTAGTCTTTCTTTTTTTATTAGATTATTAATGACATATGAAAGTTATCAACAAGATGAAGGTATGTGCCCGCAGATTTAAAAAGCCAACACCTGCGACGGATTTGTGCAGTCGCCTATTGTCATTCGATGCATTGCCATTTCCGTAATGCCATGATAATGAACGAAAGCAGCCGCGATTACTAATACATGGAAGATTTGATGACTCTGAAACTGTAAAATTGAGATATTCAGTTATAATACACGTTCAAAATAATCTCGAGATCGAGTCGCACTATAAATTCAAAATTTTAATAGCACTTACCCAAATGTCGAATTTTCCTGGGAAAAAACGTTCAGGTACTCTTAAAGCATAAAATAACGCGCCTAATATGTACAAACATCCCATTAGTATTAACCATCCGAGGGATGCTTGGCTAATCGCCTTGAACCAACCTTCGGCGACGGCATAATGTACAGCTGGTATTACCTTAATTGTGCAACAATAATAAGTACAAAGTTAAAATGTTATTAGATAAAGAATTAAAATAGAAATTTTGAAGTGAGATATAATTTGAGAAAAATATGACTTACCCCGCTAAGTCCAAAACCCATAAAAACTCCAGCTCTGAGTGGACGATAATTTGGTTCGCCGAAACGCTCCCACAATGACACTACGATACTGGTTATTCCAAGGACAACCACGACAGACAGATAAATTAGCTTAGGTTGGTAGTCGCAATAAAATCCGTAATAAAGCCATGGTACAAAACTACCCATAATAAGCATAGCTATGCCACAATAATCTAGCTTCGAAAACAGCTTTCCCACACATTCGCTGTGGCAATGAACTGTGTGAAAGGCAAATGACATTCCTAGGCAAATTATAGCACCGGCAAAGAAGATACCAAATACCAATTTTTCCTCCAATTGAATTTCTATAGGAGGCTGTGTTAGGAAAAATATAGCTATACCAATAAAGGCAACGCAGCCTGTAAGGAATAAAATATTTTTATGAGCGAGATTGATAACCAAACTCTCACAGAATATAAAAAAATTATACTTAAATATGATATATGTATATATGTATATCTCTTTTTTTTTTTAGAAAGTGCACATTGAGAAATTTAGTGTTACTTAATACCGCATTAAGAAAAAGCAACATACCTAATAAATGTGTCCAGATATTGCCAGTTTCTGTGTGAATTCGAAAAATGCTTTTAAAACATGCATAAAACGAGGGTAACGGCGGCCTATGACCAGCGTGCAAGAAATCGTTATCTTGCAACCATCTCGGTAGATTTCTAAAGTGACACTGATTCCACCCCGCTTCCCATACCTGCACAAAACAACATCTCCAGCTTTAAATTCGTAATTTGCCGATCAACAATATCAAGTTATCATGTAAATCAATTCTGAATGTTTACTAGTCAACTCTCTACTGTTATGCGGACTGCGTTCAACAGAATTTTTATCCTGCAACTGTCAAAAGTTTTCTTTATTGAGATATTGCACTGTGCCTTTAGAAACTGAAAATATGATCCGATCGATGCAAAACCGCTTATTAAATGCTGACTTCTGCTGAACGCGGCCATTATTATAGCACTCATCTGAATATCCTTTTTTTTACCTTTCTAACAAATTCCTCAGCCTGCTCCGCTGCATTATGTGCTAGCGCGCCTAGATCGATTTCGTCGCTCAATACTCCTGCCTTTAATACCTCTGTCATCTGTAATATAAATAGATGTTTCAACTGATCGTCCATTATATTACATTGTCTTAAACTAAAAATTAAAATTAGAATCCAAATTGAAATTATAAATAAATCATAGAATCAAATCATATATGTCCTTTCAAGATGAAAGGATGCAACATACCTCACAGTCCAGGAGATGATCATCTTCCGGCGTCGAGGGCAACGGACACCCGACCCCGTCCTCCTCTTCCGCCAGGCAACTCGCATCGTCATCCTCCAATAACTCTTTCACCTCGTGTAAACCCGGAATTTCGCTGTTCAGCAACACACGATCGCTCCATGGGATACGGCGTCGCATCCCACTCAAGTCCGTCGGCAAATTTTCCTCCTTCTCTTTGGCCTCCATAATAATGTCCTCGTATTGCGACATGGTGTCTCAGAATAAATACGATTGACGGCAGGTCTGCAAATATATAATCGTTCGTTGCTTCGTACGGAAAGAGACAATGGAAATTTTTGTGACTTGTGCTCTTATCGCAATATTCCATATTCATTCTCGATGTGAAATTTCGAGCGAAAGAATGGATAATTTATTTATATGTACTTCAATGCATCCGTAAATATCTCTTATCGCGAATTTACAACACGTCAACGTTTCTTCTGACGTAAATGTATATGTAAATGTATATGTTGAGAGAGAGAGAGAGAGAGAAAAAAGCAAAGATAGCTCCGACTGTATTAAACTACGGTTAACTACTATTAAATGGTACTTTTAACTACATAAGCCGCGTGCGAAGACAACGAAAGGATTGACAAGTTAATGAACTCGTAGGCTCGGTAAGACGAGTCCGAGATTAATCGTCGGAGCGAAACTCGCCGTCGTCGTCAGACTCCCGTCGGGTGGGAGAGATGACCTCGCGGTTCACGGTCCCCCGCGTTTTTCGCTGAGCGAAACGTTGTACACCTACCGTTTGCGCAAGTATATTTTCGTCGACTTTCACGGAGAATTTTAAAATCGCGCAACGACGTCCGGACTATGTAAACATGTGACTCATTACATAAGACATGATCGCATGTCGCGAGGGTCGCGAGTCGCACTTCGACTGGACTGGTGGACTTTAACCTCGTCACGGAAGGTTATCCTTTTTTTTTTAAATATATATATATATACACAGCCTGTTGCAGCGTCACTTCTTTTTTTCTCTCCCTCTCTCTCTCCCGTCCAACAATCACGCGTCTCGAGACTGTCAAGTCCACGCGGACGACGGGCTCATCGTCTGGCGACCCGCGGAAAAAACGAAAGCGCCGTGAAAGCGCGCAACAGGCGTGAAACTCGACACTTCGACGAACGACAGAGCCGAGCCGTACGGGGATGTCACGCACGGTGACGTGCGTTAATATACGAACGTTCGGCCTCCCGATACATACCGCGGTGCGTGCGACGATACGTCCCACGGTATTCACACTCGCGCGGGCATGCCTCCGCCAATTTTTTTCCCCTTTCTTTCAGGCTCTCTGGGATCACTTGAAAAAAAAAAACAGTTTACGTTCTCTCCTCTCGGTCTCGCGTAAACGTCTCGCACACGTTTCTGCCCCAGGTGGTCGTATATGTAAGGCCTCGTGCCCTGTCAAGACTGAAGGCGACGGAAACTTGGTGATCGGGAATGACGGGGATTAGAATTCGGCCAATCGGATCGCCTTAAAGTCTCTTAATTCGTTTCGATTTGCAATTCGAATTCGCATAGTTTGTGCGATCCTCCCTCGACGCGGTTCTGATACGGGCTTAACAGTGCCCCCCGCACACGTGGCCGAACCTCGCTTCCAACGGAGAAAGGAAGCGTCGGCGGGGCTGCTCTCCCTGTCTCTCTTTAAGCCTCCAAGTGAGGAAGAGGAATTGAACGAGAAGCAAGGAATTACTTCCGATGGCGATGGTAAATCCCATGGAATTTTCACGGTACTGAAAGAAAAGGGCAATCTTTAAATCTTTGAAGGACAATATATAAACCTTTTTTTTTTTAGCGCGAACTCTGTAGGAAACTGGTGAATCCGATCACTCGCATTCCATACTCTAAAGTACTCTTATTAGTGTTTATATAATTCGATCGTAATATCTTATACTTTATATTATTACATATTTTAATCAAGCCGATTTACAAAATCTTATTTTCTATGTTGACTTTCTGCCTTTACTGAATTTGGAAGAAATACTAAATAAAAAGTTTTTAATTTCGTAAACCGTTTACGATGTTTTATGTGCTATGACCTTTGAGAGAGAGAGAGAGAGAGAATTGATCAACAATTTTCAAGACAAAATTTTGTAATTCTCAGCTGCGATTCGTCGACCTGTTGTTTAGGTCGTAAGGTTATGTTATGACACACGAAAAAATGTCAGCGGTCACATATCGATCAACGACAGCCGAGAGTTTCAAAATTACAGCCTCATGGGACATTATTATGATAGATCTTTATATTGAGAATGAAAAAGTTCTGAAGACTTGAGAAACTCTCACCGATTTCGGTCTGAAAAACTTGTACGTATGAATGTATGCAAGCGACAAACGGAAAGAGAAACCTTCTCGAGAACGCTCGACTGTGATTGGCGGAACTCGCTCACGGCTCTCGTTGCCTGCATTTTTCCCGTTGTAGTGGTAACCCTATTGTCTAGGTTTTTCTATGTGCTTCATGCTTCATGGCCCGAATGGAACTAACATGGAAGATATATACATTATACGGTACCATACGTTTTGCGCCAGGTCGATGCGTGATTTAACGATATCGCTTCGAAAGCGATTTATCACAACGTTCGTTGCGAGCGGGAGCGTGTCACGGTCGTCACGAGCGTTCGTTTGATTGCAAATAAAGAAGAAAATCTTTAATGAGAGACTTGTATGCAAGAAAAAAGGGTTGGATTTATACGTTACGAGGTACGTTTTCTTTTTCTCCACGACGAGAGGGAGGGGGGAGGCATATCTATCTTCATTAGTATTGGAGTATTAGACGCAGATTGGGGTATGGTAGTAAACAATAATAAAAGATTGTTTTGTTTATGGACTAATTGTTTACAAGGAAACAATGAGGGAAGATATAGGAGAAAAATAAATTTTCCAAATAAATTCGTGGGCTCGAGTTTAATCTCTGTATATGGTCTTATTGTCTGCATGCAGGTTCGTTTTGGACAAGGAATTGAATAGCACGCGCAGTACAAGATGCCAAAATTGCCGATCCGGAAAGCCAAAAGAGTTGGCGTGTTGGCGACCAAAAGGACGCAGTGCTTGAAAAATGTCCATTTCAAGGAACGATCCTATAGACCACGTAAGATTCGAGTTTTCTATTGAATCGTTCATCTCTCACTCTCTTCAACATACGGCGATGATTTTGACTATTGAATAATACCGTTTTTTTTCTTTCAGTGTATGAGAAGTTAAAGCACAACAATAATTACTTGGCGAAAGCGCTATCGCAAGAAAAACAGACCAACCAAACATTATTCTCACAAAATGTTGATCTGATCGGAGAGATACAACAACTAAATCACATATGCAACACACGAAATGTAAGCAGTGTTTATATTTACGAGTTACGAGAAGAGATTTTTGTACACCTATAAATTTCTTCACACCCTCCCTCCCCCTACAGACACACACACGTTATATACATATATATATAAAATGTTTAATCTAGTTTATATAATTTATATATCTATTATATATAAATTATATAAACTGGAGTAAACACTTTTTATATATATGATTAAACACTTCTTAGTTTCATGTCAGAAACATAATTTCTTCTGCATGTGTCAGTAAATAGAATTTATATAGTTTTGACATCAATTTCGATCAGAAGAAGTTATTATAAAAAAGATACTCTCGGGTGGTTTGCCATTGTCATCCGAGAGGTGACAATTGAATAAAAATCTGCTGTATATTCTGGGAGGGATTTGTATCTGGATCTTTGGCACAGCCTTGCACAACTCTGTGCCACGATCGCAATTTATGTGTATATATAACATTTAAAATATTAAAAATTTAAATATGTATCTTACATGTATATACAAATTTTTTTGCTTTACAAGCTGGAATATTTTACATGCTAGTTTTTAGTTTTTTAATTTATTACCTATTATTTGTTTCAGACTGTAATTTCCAATGTACTGAATAACTCAAAAGAAATATTGAAAATGTTGGTCACGATGACCGGTTATATGACGAACACGATCTCCATGTGTCAGGAGCTTGTTGCGTCTGATACTGCTGCTAGAATATCATCTGCTTCAGCTGGAAGTGAGAAATATTTCGATACTGTAAAATTTCAAGAATTTCTTCAGCTTAATTTTCTTTACAATATCCATGCATTGTTTGCATTATTCATAGACATTTTCGTAATATCTGGTCTACATTGAAATATATTTCAGTGAAAGAATCACCCAGCAAATTAACAAAACCGCCAGCTAAAGGTGTAGTAAAGCCTATGGTGAGTGGGCACACTATTACTAAGCCCACAATAAATTTAAGCCGGGTTAATATGGAAAGTTTTAATATAGCAAGACTGAGCGATATACCAGAAGTAACACCTAATAGAAGTCAGGAAATGAATGAGACTAGGTCGCCAATTATTCCCACCTCACCCCTTAGATATGTACGTATATACATTCATTTTATATGACTATGTTTCGCACAAATTATGCTGTATGAAACTTATTTCTATATGTAGGTATATATTCTATCGAGAGTTACGTTAATTGAAAAATATACAATTGTTTCAGGAAAATGGTCGTACATGCAGACTGCCAGAAAGACTGACACTTTCTTCACCCCGCTTCAATGGTATGGCATATCACGAACAGTAAATTAAGTAATTTAATTACTTAATTTACTTAAGCACGATTCAATTTGATTATGATGCTCGATCAGTTAATAAAAATTATTGAAATACACTTGCAGCGGCAGAGGAACAACGATTAAGAAGAAAAAGAAGAAGTCACCATTCAAAGCGATTATCAGTATCGTTTTCACGATCGCAAAATAGATGGTCCGGTGAATCTCCAACGAGTGCGGAGCATATTAACGTAAGTGGTACCATAAAATAATTAAGAATACTCCTAAATGATTTCTAAATGATGACTCAAATTGTTAATATTAGAAGAATTGCTTCATCCAATGTGATGTAGAAAAAAATAGTACGTTTAATACTTTCGCCTAATCTTTAATTGCCTATATTTAAGCTGAATTATGTTACTGAATTTTTCCGTAGGTCATCGGCACCAGGATAGACATTGAAAGTCAGGAGAGTCATGACGACACGTCTCACGATCTGTCGGACAGAATAAACGCGATAGCGGAATCGCAGGTGTCGATTGACTCGAGCGAGGAGGATGAACCGCGTGTGAACACATCGAAGAAAGATCTCAGTGTACGACTAAGTAAAATCTCTAGTAAAGATTTTAGTAGCAACTCCAGTGTAGCAAAAAACTCAAGACTGACGCAAAATAGTACTAGAAATTGGGAGGAAGAGGATCCGTTGGAAGGTCCAAGCTGGCGGTTCAACAATCCCTTGCCGCGGGATAACGAGCCCGAGGAGCTCGACCACGATGATGTATCTGACGTTAACAACAATATGTCGCAAGTGGTAGTGTATGACGAGTCGAGCGTGGCGGGAAGCAGTCTAGAGGAGTCCTTAAACGAATCTGTGAGCAATGCGCAAACTTCGGAGAGAGACGCGACGCTCACTGCCGACGGCACCGAGTTTGAATCTGGTCTGCGCGAGCACGATAGTATGGACGGTACTATTTGCGAGATACTTTCGGCATCGAATCGCGAAAGAAATACCGTAGAGAATAGCGTTGAAGACGGCAACGTGGACGCGGGCACAATGAAATTCGCGAGCTTCGTGACGCTAAGACGCGGGCAATCCGAAGCGCCGGAAGAGCCGGAGGAGGATTTCACCCTAATGCTGCGCCCGTCAGCGCAAAATATGCAATTCAACATGAACGAGCTGCGACTGCCCGTTTTGGAGAAGATCGCGGTAAACAATTCCGCCGACAGCAACGAAACCGACGCCGAAGTAACCGCCGCGATACCGAGAGTTACGAATGTCTCGAAGGTGGCATCTTCCGCGTCGAATCGTAACTCGAACGAATCTGATTACGACCATATCATGCAAAAACTGCCATTAATTATAATTAACAATCACCAGAGCACCCCGACGCAGCAAAAGACCAAGCATTCCAGTAAAAGTGGTAGTAAGAAGACGAAGATACCGAATATGAAAGACAGTACGAGTCACGCTGGAGGTTCTTCGATCGTTAAGAGCAAGGCGAAATTCACAAGCAAATCTGAGAATAATAGAGATCCGAGCGCAGCGAAAGTCGTTTTGGAGAAGCTCAACGAGTCTCATGTTAAACCGAGGACGTCGGCCAATGATACCCAAAACGCCAGTAATGTGTATGTATAATTACGAATTGTTACAAGCCACTGCGAGAATTTTTCTCTTGGCTCGCATGCTCTTATTGTATTCCGGTTTTGCAGGAGAGACGTCACGTCCGATGAAGAGGATAATGTACGAGACTCGGAGAATAGTACCTACGCCTCTAATCGCCCTAGACGAAGAAAGGCGCCGGTAAACTTGAAAGAACCTAAATTGAATAAGTAAGTAAAAATTCTGCTTGGATTGGATAGAATATGTTCGGTGCGATTTGCACTAATTAAAATATTCGACTGTTGTATACGACGTGAAATTGTGCTTCTTTGCAGGAAATTGAGACGACAATAGTAGGAAGGATATGTAGGATCAAGATTTAATGCTGAAAATTGTTATACTCGTATTAACGATACTGCTGAAAGCTGTTTCTGCAATCCGAGTTCTGACAGAGCAGTGTAAACGGACTACATATAAATTATCTCAATAGATGTCAAATTTAAAAATCAATGGTGTTTGTTAGCTGATATCGTGGGAGTTATGGTTGATTCAACTGTCCTAATAATCTCGCGGGAACGTTGTATTCCCGATACATTACTTCTTCCGCTGGTATGCACATTCTGCGGCCTTGACGGTAAGTACAAAGCACCCTCGTAAATTGACATAAACATTCTGTATCTAATGAAAAAGAAATTTGAAAATTTTATTTTTATTGAAAAATACTTATTTCTATAACAATTTTAATTTTAATTTTTTTATTAGTCCTTTAACTCTTATTATCGCCTTTTCCAAGAAAATGTAATGAATCAAGGGTGCTTTACACTTATGGTCAAGGCCATATAATTGGCCTTTTTTTTGTACTATGTTCTAGGCATCGATACGGTATGTACAAAAAACATGCCCGTATCTTCCTTCTACAGTATTATTATTGGTACAATACCTTATTTCTTTTGTATGCTACCAGAATTATTTTAATAAACATAGCTGGTATGTGTGAATGGCGAGTAAATTATTTTTCTCTCCAGCCTCAGTTTCAATAACTCACGATTATAATATTAATTTTCTTATAAGGGCGTGCGTACTATATAATATCCAACATTTTGTTATTATCGTATGAAAGAAATATAATCGTGGGCAAATTTTTAATCCTCTCTTGTGAGCCCTCTTTCAAGTTAATTCGCAAAATATTATAATTCTATATGCATCATGAGGCTCAACGGCAATTTCAGACCGCGTTGTACGTTTTTAGAAATAGGCTTAATAATCGAAATGTTAACAGTAATACTTAGAAAGTCTCATTCCTCATTCTTTCCAATTAAAAAATTTTCTGTTATCTGATTTTCTTATCTCTCTGGAGAACGTTCCCTGAAAAAAAAACAAAAACAAAAAATGTTTCCGCAACGAAGAGACTCGTGGAAAAGTCCCCGGCATGAAATTAGCGCGCGAGGTGAAACTGTTTCACCGTGCTCTCGCGTGAAATGATTGATCGCCGTCGGAAACGGCCGGCAGCTTTCGTGCGCAAATAAAAAGGCTTGGCCTCCGCGTACTCGAGTAGTGTTATGTGTATATGTAATGGATTTAACCTTCCGCGCGCTTCCACGCGAGAGAGCCGCGGCGGGCGCGGGCGCGCGCGGGGGCGGAAATTAATTATGTTTGTTTAATTTCGAGATGAAAAAAGCAGCTGGCACTGCCTCGCCCATGCGGCGTTCGCGCCCCGCGGCTCTCTAATCCGGGAAAGAGGAAAAAGCAGAAGAGTGAAAAAAAAAAAAGAAAGGGAGAGAAAGGGGAAGGGTTGCTGCTGAAATTACATGAAGACTGTAAAAAGCATCGACTGCGAAACTCGATCAAATTTTAAGCGGTACGTTAACACAATTAACGCGTTTCGATTTTCACGAGGAAGACTTCGATTAAAAAAAAAAGATACCTTGCGATATGCATGTTCGATCCGGTCGCTCCGAATTAAACGACATGACGACTTAAGGATGAAAACGCTTAAGGATGAGTTGCCTCGATCGCTACCGCTATGTCGATGTTTACGTCGGTGTTCGTTAAGCCGCTCGTTAAAAACGGGAAGTAACGCGATACACTGCGGAAGGATATTCGCGACACGATCAATTAATCGTTACGTGAACCGCCGATGCAACGTGAACCGATGTATCGGCATGCCCATCGGTCACGTTGGCGACGTCACGACACTCACGACGTCGCGTGCTTGTCTCGCTCTCTCGTCGAATTGCCCGGATAATCAACACCTCGCGCTCGCATTTCCCCGTGCACGTCGGAAAATCACGGGCCCGACCAGACCCGAGACGAGTGTCAGAGTGGACAGAGTTGCCCACTTTAGAGAGACGCGCGATTATTTTCTCGCGTGTCTCTTACGCGAGAGCCACGCACGCGCCCGATCTTATGTGATACGAAGAGATACGCGAGTTGAGAATCGCGTAATGTGGAATTTGGTGCGAGATCGCACGCGAATGTCACTCGCAAATGTCACCTGCTTTTTTTCTCGCTTTCCTCAACCGTGATATACTGGAACTAATGATACGTACGCACGACATACTCTGGTAATGTACATTGAGAGAAAAAAATGGTTGCAATTACTATAATTTAATACTGCAATTTATGTACAGTCATTTTCGGTGCCAGCTATATATTTACTTGGCAGAACTCCGAATACAATTGTTATTGCTAACGGTAATAATTATAAAAATGGCTGCTGCAAATAATTATTTTGCCATGCAATTATAGTTATAAATACCAAACACTTTTCTCTCAAAATAAAGAAAATTCAAACGGTTTGATTTCTTAAATTAATCACACGTCGATTGTAATTTATGTACAGTCATTTTCGGTGCCAGCTATATATTTATTTGGCAGAACTCCGAATACAATTGTTATTGCTAACATTATGGCAACAATTATAAAAATGGAGCTCCAAATAATTATTTTTTTTACCATGCGATTACAGTTACAAATATCAAACACTTTTCTCTCAATGTAAAGAAAATTCAAACGGTTTGATTTCTTAAATTCACACGTCGATTGTAATTCAGAAATCTGTTATCCGATGATTTTTGATATCAAAAGTATCAATTGATGAGAAAAGAATAGAGCGTAAAACAATTTTCACGAGATAAGTTTTTAAATCAGATATTTAATGTCGCACTTTAAAACATGGAATGCAGTTTAAATTTTGTGGTATTCGTTTTTTTTCCTTAAACCAACTCGGATAACGACCCAACAAATAGTGCGCGCGGATCCATTGCGATTTTCCTGGAAAAGATTCGGCGGAAACGATCAAAGGAACTTTTCCGGGAAAGTGCACGCGGGCGGAATGCAATAAAACGCAAATTTGTTCGAAAACACCCTCACCAAACGAGCGGCGGCATTTTTGCTGAACTTATTTCTCCGATTGTCGTAAGAAAAGTAAATATAAATGAAGATGTACATTTATAAAATTTTTAGGATATCGATAGTAACGATAAAAATAAATCGATAATTAAAAAATGAAAAATGTTACTGTTGTAAAGAGATTTCTAAAAAGATTACAAGAATATTAATCGAACAGTCGAACTTAACGCAGAAATCTAAAAAATTCATGCGTATATCCTCTTGAAAAATTGTCTAGATGCATTCTTGTCCGAATTTTTCGTTTTTTGCGACAAGATAAGCGATAAATAGTACTTAACAGTATAAATGGGCTACAATGCTATACAAAACTCGTGACAAATGAGTGGCCTGAAGCGTTCATTTATCTTGAAGTCGATACCTGAGGCTTTTTACTGCATTAAACCGAGAATGACAAACGTTTCGACTGTTCAGAAAATCCCTCAATGCGTCGCAGACGTAATCATACATAGGATGCAGACGGTCGATTACATTATGCAGCGAGAGGTACAATTTAGATTAATGCTTACCGATATACTTTTATGCAAACGATATTGACGCGACAAGTGGAGCTAGTCAACTTAAGTAACTTTCACCCGAAGTTACCCTCATTATAGGAAAGTGCGTATTCTTCGCTCAATGGAAATTTTCTTAAATCGACAATTAATCGTCAATCTCCAACATCTGTAACAAAGTTCGTTTTCGAAGTTCAAGAAATTGAGCATTGAAAATTGAGGATTGCGAATTGAAGATTAGAATTCGACCAATCAGATAATTTTATAATTTTAATCCGTTTCGTTATTCTGATTAGGTGAACTTCTAATCTCCAATTTGCAATCCTCAATCTCCGATGCGTATCTCTGACACGGATTTTAGAACTTCCCTAAGAAATACAGGCGAAAATGTTTTAAATTCGACGATATATCACGATATCGAAACTCTGTTGATTGAATCGCTATTGAATTAGCATTCTCTAAGATTTTTGCCAACTTCAAGTGCTTCGAAAATATACAAAGATTAGATACAAATGTATTAACCAATTCCTTATTTTTTTTTTAACAGAAGATTTTTCGAAAATTATTCAGTTTCAGCAAAGCCGAAAAGGTAGAAACATGTTTTTGCCTACCCACAGCGGCAAAAGGAGACGCTAGATCTACGGATGGTTGCGTGGGAGAGGGACAGGCAACATAAAGCATCGTTCCTACCTGAACGAACGAGTCCCTCGGTTGAACACCGTGAAGGAAACTTAGTCTGTGAAATAAGTTGTACTGTCATTACCCAAGTCGTAGATTACGTCCTGAAAACGATCCTCTACATTTGTAACATTTAATGACAAGTCGCATCTCTGCGGGTGTCTAGCTATTTTGGAACGTCTGTCAGATAGACACGCACCTTAACCCTGTTACCGGCGTTTCAACCCCCTTCCCTTCTATTAAATCCCCACCGACGGCACCGACGTCCAACCAGGCGCGCATGCGTCCGTCATTTCCCAGTAGCTCCGATCGGTCGGCCAATCGGCAGCACCAGGTGACGGCATCGTCGGCCAGTCGTCGCCACGCACGATGACGACAACGCTATTTTCGGCCGGCGTGACTCACGGGATATAAGCGAGTACGTTTAGTTGGGTGTTCACAAGTTGTCGGGCCACCGTGGCGCACAGGGTGATCCGCGTTCGTGCAAACACACGTCGCCGCGATCCCGTCGCGCAGCGTTCCGTTCCGTGGAGCAGAAAGACGCGGGCACACGCGCACCCAACGTCGTGTCGTGAGTCATTGTTGTGTTGACAGTCGAGGCAGGCGGGCAGGTCAAGCGGCGGGCAGGAAAAGCCAGGCAGGGGCGAGCAGGGCAGACAAGCAGGTTGCCGCTCCTACGGCGGACCGGTCGTCGTTGGTGATCGGCGTACAGTAACGCCGGACGTGCGTCGAACATCGCCGTCTTCTGCGCCGATTTCGGTCGACTTGCTCCGTACCGGTGTCGCCGGTGGTTGGTGCGCGATACGCCGAGTGACGTGACACACAGGTCCCGTGAGACGCAGGGACGGAGGTGCGGCGGAGGTGGAGTAAGGGAGGAGACGGCGGTCATACCGCGAGTGAATTTTTGCGTACAGCCGCGCGCGCGGCTGTTATGTAATCGCCGCAGCGCGGAGCGAAGTGTTTGCGCGTTGACGTAGGCAAAGAGGAGACAAGAGGGAGAGAGATAGAAGAAAGGAGGAACGCGTGAAAGAGCGTGAACGTCGCAGAACACGTTGACGTGTACAAACTCCGTCGGAAAGCCCGTCGCTTTCTTCAGCACTTCGGGGCCGGATCGCTAAGCGGAGTCGCGCCACTCCGGGGGGAACGGATCGCTTTCCCGTCCGGAGGCGAGGAACCGAGAAAGGAGTCGAGGGTGAAACCTCGGTATTCCCTAATCGAGGCGGGTCAATCAGTCCGGCGGCATCGATGGTGCGCAGTCTGACGATGGAGCAGACGTTCTACGAGGACGCGAGCATCTACACCGCGATGAACGGTCGCGAGAACAGCGTGGTCCAGCTCAAGCGGAATCTCACGCTTGACCTGAACGGCGGCTGTCAGAGGCAGGGCCCGCAGGCGAAGAGGCCGCGGCTGGGCCCGCTGCCGCCGGCGCTCAACAACGTCACGCCGATCCTGAGCTCGCCGGATCTCAACATGCTGAAGCTGGCCTCACCCGAGCTCGAGAAGCTGATCATGCCGGACGGCCTGGTCAACACCGGTCTACCCACACCGACCACCCAGATCCTGTTCCCCAAGGCGGTCACCGAGGCCCAGGAATTGTACGCGCGCGGCTTCGTCGACGCGCTCAACGAGCTCCATCACTCCGACAGCTCGCAGGAACCCGGCAGCATGCACGGCGCCACGTACACGACCCTGGAGCCGCCCGGTAGCGTGCAGAGCACGGAGTCCACCATGAGCAATCCCGGCCTGTTGCACGTCAAGGACGAGCCGCAGACGGTGCCGAGCGTGTCGAGCACGCCGCCGATGTCGCCGATCGACATGGAGAACCAGGAGAAGATCAAGCTGGAGAGGAAGCGGCAGAGGAACCGCGTGGCCGCGTCCAAGTGCCGACGGCGCAAGCTCGAGCGCATCTCCAGGCTCGAGGACAAGGTCAAGCTGCTCAAGGGCGAGAACACCGAGCTGAGCAGCATCGTGCACAAGCTCAAGGAGCACGTGTGCCGGCTCAAGGAGCAGGTCATGGATCACGTACACGCCGGCTGTCAGATCATGACCGTCAGCAACCAATTTTAAAGCCTCCCAGCATCGCCTTCTCACCTTCTAACCGAGGATGGGACGAACGCTAACGCCCTACTCCCGTGGTTACCACCTCGTGGATTCGCTGTCACCGCTGTTTCACCAACTTCTTGCCCCTTTGCGGTAGTTTTCGCGAAGGAAACGTACAGTGCACCTTCTCGTTACGGCCGGTGCGTCGTTTGGATCTCCTCTTCTGCGCTTGCGAGAGGAAAAATCTCTGCTGGCTACGTAAATACGGACTTATCGTTCGGAAATGTTTTCTTATCTCGACCTCAATAAATTCGAGTGGTTTATTCTTTGACGCCAAGGGGAGAGAAGAAAGGCTCGTCTCCACTTTCGATATTCAAGAAGCTTGTGGGAGCGATATCTTCGAAAAAGATGATCCCATCGCCATCCTGAAAAAGGATCTTCGCAAAGGAGGGAGGGAGGAAAGGAATCCATCGTCCGCATCACGTTCGCCGTTTTCTCTCTCGGTTTCTTCTGTGACACGATCGGGGAGGAGACGATCAACACAACGACGGCGAGAACAGCAGGCGGAGCAGCAAGAGGAGAAGGAGGAGGAGGAGGTGACGGTCGTGGAGAAGGAGGAAGGAGTGCCTTCGTACACAGCGTGAAACGTAAAGGATGCTTTTGGGAGAGTGGCGGGCGTGCGCGCGTGCGTGTTGCGCGCATGCGAGAGACTTTACACGCACGAGCACGCTCGGCGACGGGCGAATGCGTGTGTCGCATGTATGAGAAAGAGAGAAAGAGAGAATGTGTGTGACAAGGAGAAAGAGTATGTATGCATGCATGAAAGAGAGAGAGAGAGAGAAAAAGGGAGATCGCGCGAGGTAGCATGAGGGGGGAGGAGTACCGCGGCGGCCATCTTGGAGAACGCGAGAGAGCCGGCGGGAGATTCGAAGCTACCGGAAGCTGAGGCTCTTCTCGTTTCTTCATCTTTCTTCCCTTTGTCGTCGAGTTCAGCAATATCGTCGGCTCAGCGATTCGCGATTCGTCCCGTTTTTTTCACTCGACACTGTCGAAACTTGTATCCGGGAACGGAGATCGATTTCTCGTTCGATCGTTGTAAATCTTTTCCGCGCTGACGATCTCTTGCCGTTAGATCGAGTTAGAAAAAGCGAAAAGGCCCTCCTTCTTTCTTTCTTTCTCGGCAGTGAACGGCAGCGCGCCGATTTTTCACTTCTCTACGCAGACTCGCGTGTGCTCGGTTTCGCTTTGTACATTTCGATACGCGGCGTTCGCTTTGCAAGTGACGTAAATCAAGTTTCGAAAAGTTTGTTTCCCTTGACACAGATACACCACCATTGGATATGCGCGCGCGCGCGCGCGAGGTGATTTTTGCGCTCCGTGATTCTCGAGTCGCGCACGGCACACTTGTGAGTAGGATTAAAACGCCTCGTGCCAAGTTGCGAAAGGATCGATACGTTATTACGTTCGTCGAGTGTAACGACAATCTCCCGCCGTTCATCGCCGGCTCCTCTTTCGCGAACGACGGGAACAGATTGTGTGTATATCTTTTGCGGATCAATCAAAAAAAAAAAAAACGGGAAGATTCTCATCTTCTCGGCGCGAGATAATCGGCCGGAAGGAAACCGCGCGACCGACTACTTTGTGATAAGCGCAATCAAACCGGGAGATCACGTTTGCCTTTTACCGAATGCACTTTCGCGAGAGAGAGACTCGAGCATTCCGCGCTAGTTTTGGAAACTTCTATATACACTTTGGTGCATACGAAATATTTTGACAAATTAATTCTAAGGAGTATAATACACGCGTGTGTAAATTAACGGTGCTGTATTGTAGCCGCGCTGCAGAAACGTGCATTAGGGCAGAGTCTGCTATGATTCCTTACAGAAATCCAATTTACTGGAAATTACTTGTTTTAAGTATTAAAAGCTGAACAGCAAGCACTGACGTACAGCAGTGCTGTAACACTTGAAATAAGTAATTTAATCGCTACTAGTATTGAATTTCTGTAAGAGATGAGACGCGTATTCCAACGTATCAGACGACAGAATCGATCGACGATCATCGAAGCGTCGAAGCGAGCTTGATTTATTAAGTAGCGCGCGTAATTCTTTTCAAACTGAAACTGCATCGTTTCAAATTTTTACAATATACTTGTCTATATATCGCGAGAAGATCGAATCCTTGACGATGAAATTAAAGTATTTTTCTAATTGTGATCGGTGAAATTATACATGTAAATATAAAGAGACGCAAAATTCACTTTGCGTCAGAGGTATATATTATGTAAAATTTTTTAATTGTTAAAATTGTAAAAAAAAAATATGTACAGAAAGATCATTTCTGAGAGATCTTCCATATACGTACTTTGAACCGCTTAAAGGATCATTTGAATATTTTGAATAATAAAGAGAATGTAATATCTACACTGTGTTGAGAACTGTCGGCAGAGAAAAGACGCGTTCGGCTACGATCGCTATGCCTCGCCCCGCGCGTGCATCGCGATTTCGAGACATTGTTCGATATATTTCTTCTAAGACGATCGATAATCTTTCTCCGACGTGCCTCGACGTCGTCGTTCCGCCTGTGACGCGCTCGTAATCGGGGACGGTTAAACCGAAGTAGCCTCGTTTTTTAACCCCGCTTTCCGGAGAAGAAACTAGCGCTATTTAAGGCTGTACAAATAGAGTAGTGTTCGGGTGCAGTCGTGCGTATTGAGCCTGTCGAGGAAATCGTCATCCTGGGGCGAGAAGGACGGACGCGGTGTAACCGCTCGCGGTGTGTGAGGGGGTGTGAGCGGATTCTCGCAATCGCCCGACGCGTGCCGATCAATCCGGATTACGCTTGATCGCCGACGTGCAAAGAGAACCGAGAGGTAAATCACGCGTAATTATACGATCAATCGGATCACGCCTATCATCCCCGTCGTGCACGGGATATTCGAGAAATTGATTCCAACTATAGTCTGTCTCGTCCAACGCGAGTCATCTCCTTATATTAGAAAATGATTTGTCGCGAATAATTTTTACCATTGAAAAATTGAAAAAAATAAAATATATATGATGAATTATATGAATTGGAACGGCGGACGACGTACTTAAAAATATGATTACAGTCGCCTCACACACATGCGTGAATCCGCGTCCGTTCATGCGATACTCTCGGAGGAAGAGCCCCGGAATCTTTCCCCTTAGCTCTTAAGCCGAAGACGGTCGGCGAGTCACGTTCTCCTCTTGGCTCTTCTGCGCGTTTCTATCGAGCGCGTGGAACTCCATTTCGTCATATGTGCATCTAGTCTTGTCCAGTAATGCCCTTGTAACTTGCGCGCGACGCGTATGCGTGAGCCGCATGTACCGCGCACATACACACTTATTACATAGACACGCACGTGCAGGGATCAGGAATGCATGTGTACACACAACGACACAGTGGTCGTCGCGGCCGCGTTCGACCACGTGTCGGCGAGCTGCACGGCGTCGGCAGGCGTCGCGACGTCGAACCGACCGCGATATCGGATTCGCCATACGAGAACGAGGCCCAGCCCTTCCAGACATTTAATACTGGAGATGCCAAATAATTATTTTGAGGATTAAATTGCACTAACAAACAGTGTCTTTATATAATATTAAAAATGAATAATTATTTGACACTTATGGTATTAAATTGCTGCAAGGGAGACGTCCACGTTGCTGCAATATACACACTCGTTTCTTTTACGATACCAATACCGGCGCACATTCACTACCGTCGTACATACATCTCCCTGTATTTCGCGCACCGTACGGTGTATACTTTGATACGAAAGATTCGCGCGTAGGCTTAAGTCCGAGGACGCAAAGTTATCGTTATCGCGACGATATCGGCAATAAGTAAACCTCTCGTGTCTTCGAGAGGAATTGTCCCGTATACCGGATGTATTCAGCTCAATCTTTCCGTTCGATTATCCGTCAAGTTATCGAAGGTCTGAGATCGATGTTCATAGTCGTAAACAATTTTCAATCTTTGATTGCGAGCGTAATTAATTACAGATTCATATTTCGAATTTATATTTCACAGATCTGTTTTTCAAAAGTCTGTTATTACATGGAGAAAACGATTTGGCTAAAAAGTCTAAAAATTTTGATGGATACAGATCTGAAAATAGTTTTGTTGGGTCATCAAAATAATTTTGTTGAAAATTCAAACTGGTTGCTAGAATATCAAAATGTTTTACAGTAATGCTCATCATTTTTGAGTTTCCAGCAAAATTATTTTCATGTAATAAAATTATCTTCAGACTTGTATCCAGCAAAATCGTTCTTTCCGTATATTTACGAAAATCTATTATTATTTGTCTTTAATTATTAGCTCAAATAATCATAGATTCATCGAATAACGCCATAATCAATGACAGCTTTTCTGTTTGACATTTCTTTAATCTCAGACGTAATTATTTAAACAAATATTTATACAAAATTTCATCATTTAATGATTTATTTATGGATGATCATAATCATTATATGATTGAGAATTGTGTTAGAAGAAGAAAAAAATAATCATAAAAATGATTGCAATAATAATTAAAATCTATACTATTCAATCTGAGATTGTCGAAGTAACAAGCAATTCATAGCTCAGCGTTTCATGAATCAACGACTATGAATCCTTGTAAAAATTGAATATAGATTAGCGAATAATCAGAGATTTATGAAACTGTGTTATTCGCGAAGTAATTATTATTGACTATATATAAATACTGGCCTATAAGACAAGTTTTTAAAAGATTTGTTAATGCGTTCTCTCGTCGCGTTCACTGCGGAGTGCATCTCGAAGACCTCGGATGTGTAATCGAACGAAAAGATCGGAATGGAACACCTTGTAGAGGGGAAGCGAGCAATAACAAAGCAATCTTACCTCCGTTTTGCGCATTATCCAACACGAGATGGATCGCGCGTTCGCGCGCGCGAAAGAAAAATACTTCACGAGCGGGAACGGGGAAAAATGGCGATTAAACGCGCCGTTACGCAATCCCTCGCGAATAATATCCTCGTCCACGTGGATATTATTCGTCCGAGAATATTTTATTTCCGAGTCTCTTGTCGGCGTAATCAGGGCGGCGGTCGAAAAATGCTTCGATAAAGGCGACTATCGTGATAAAAGGATCAAGTCAGTTTGAAAGAGACGAGTGATTTCTTACGCTTTGTATTGTTCTACGGGATATCTTTAGGTGGAACGCAGTTAATCGGACGTTCGATCAGAGCGAGGAATTAGATGTGAGCTCCTCGCTCGCGACGAAACGCACGCGTCTTTCTTGAATGCGCGGACGTTGCGTAACGCCGTCGCGCGAAATCTAACGGGTGTGCCCGGCGCGAGCGGGACCACACCTATCGATTTATCCGCGCGCGACTCGTATCTCCTCGGCGCGTTGGAAGGAAATGTATTTTACCGATAATGCCTCTTCTGGGCGATCGCAGACGAGAGCGGCGGTTTCCAAAAAAAATGGACGAAAAATTCTTTTTATCTGTGCGACAATGGAGCTTCAATCAAACTAATTAAGCGGCGCTAAAAACGATAGGCGAATGCGACCCCACTTCGCGACGAGGATCGCGATCGATCTTTTTCTACACACATTTTACGACTTACGCACATTTTTATCGTAGCCGAGAAGGAGGAGGACGCCGAAAGTGTGCTTGCGCGCGAACTTGCGCGCTCACCTGACTTCTACGACTGTCCGACTTGGCCTCGTTCTCCCTCTCTCTGTACTTTCTTTTTTAACATTGACACGAGAATGCTAAGATATATTTATTTCTTAAGATTAACTCCCGCCGATACTCGCCGACGATCGCTACGATAATCTGCTTTACGGGCGAAAAAAATAGAATATTAAGAGAACAATTGTCAGTGCGATTTTATGCATGAAACGTTACTTCTCGTTATAACGTACATAAAGCAGAGCTTTAGCAAAGATATACACATACAATATATATGTATATTTATGAAAAAAGAAATCGGATTATATATTACGAGTGACGATTACGTAACGATATTGCAGCGGCGAGTGTCGGTGGATTAAATTTTGCGCGCTGTTCCCTCTCGCTTGTGCGGATATTCCACCACTCTTTGTATTTATTCGTCGCGACGACGCGCGATCGTCGCCTCGTGCTCTCGATCGCAGAATCTCGGATTCGTCGTGCCCGAGCGATTCGGGCGAGACACGTTGACCACTCGAGGGGCGAGGCGAAAGCGATCAGATCCACTACCGTGGATCCCAAGATCCTTCGAGGAGAGCCTTCGCCTCGCCCGTCCTTATACGTTCTCCGACGTTTAACCCTTTGCGATCGCATCGACGAAAAAAGATTTTATATTTTAAGGGGGAGGTGCGCGTGTGCTATCTCGGAGGAATTTCGGTAGCGTGTATGTAAAATATGTACAGTATCGACGTAGGGCGACGCGTCTCGATTGACAGAACCGCAAAGGGCTAGAACCAAAGGAAACTTTCACGTCCGTATTCTCTCGCCGCGTTCACTCGACGGTTAAAATCACGCCCTCCCCCTACCCTCCCGACGGGAGATCTTTCGTGACGCGCCGTGAAACAGGAACGAGGGAATACGGAAGCGGCAGGCGAGCGCGAGCGCGAACCAGAGACCGTATTCACATGCCTTCGCGGCGTGCCTTCTTTTTCTCGAGAAATTGTAATTAATCGCGCGCGGGCGACATTCTTCACAAAAGGAATTAATAAGGGGGGCAACGCGTCTCCTTCCGGACGCTGAGCCTCCCCCCCCCCCCCCC